TAAAAAAAAAAAAAAGTAAAAAATTCCAAGCAACCAGGCAGCCCAGGTGGCCGCCGATGCCATTTATCCTTAGCAGACGAGCCAACGGCAAAGGACGCTCGGGGCGGGAGCCGGAGTGGGAATCGGGGCTGAGCAAGAGCGGCTGGAGGGGGGAAGATGCTCAAGCTGCTCTCCAGTTTGGAGCTCCTTCCCAGTTTGGGATTGGTCCCCCGTTTTGGGGTTGCTCCTCATTTTGGGGTTACTTCCCAGTTTGGGATTGCTCCCCTGATTTGGGGCTGCTCCCCAGTTTTGGGGTTGCTCCCCGGTTTGGGGCTGCCTCGGGGCCAGTCCGGAGGGGCCCCGTGTAGGGCTCGGCTCCCTGAGGCTTTTTTTGTTCTTTTAGGAGGGAGCTCCAACTTTTTGGGTTTAATTCTTCCAGGAAGGTTCTGGATCAGAGGGGAGGGGGGAAAGAAATCAAAGAATTTTGGGGAGGGAAAAGGGGTGAGAGGGGCCTGGGCAGAGCAAAGGCGTGGAAGGAGGAGAGGGGTGGATTTTGGGATGAAAACACCGCATTATTGAGCTGTCCATCCTCACGGCAGCACCTTGCCCATAACCTCTCCTAAAAAAAACCCTCCCTCCTGAAAAAAAACCTATGCAGGGAAGAGCAGGTCCCCACCACCTCCCTGAGCACCGGGATTTGTCCTTACTGAGGCTGGGAAAACCCGCAGGGAGCTCATCCCCCATTCCCACTGAGCTCCGGAGCATCCCGGGAGGAGAAGAGGTTGTGGAGGAACTTTTGGGATTTGTGGAAGGACGGGCAGGAGCTTCTCCCCCGCCAAGCCCGGGGAAACAGCACTGCAGAAAAACCTTTTTGGGTTGAAATTCGCTTTGTAGGGATTTTGGGGGGAGCCGACCCCCACCCCACACCTGCTTTCTTTTCAAGGCAACTCCACAAATCCTATGTAGCAAAGAGGGCCTGGAAGCAGGAGCGGGATCAGAATAGGATGAGGAGACCAGAATGATTAGCAAAACAATAATCCAAGCGAGATGGTGAGAATGGAAAAAACCCCTGGGATCAGGTGGAGGATTCCCTGAAGGCTTCAGGGCCACACCACGAGGAAGGAACACCGGACTGGAATCCACACCTCCGCAGGCACCGGGATGAGCCGGAGGGGCGCTGTTTTTCCCTCTAAACCCCCTCCTCCTTTCTGACAGTGGCCTTTCCCCCCTCCAGCACTCAGCCAAGCCACCGTGGGATCCCCATCCCGCCTGGAGACTCCCAGGATTTCAGCAACCCCCCCTGAGCGCTCCCTCACATGCCTTACACAGCTTGGGACTTCCTGGGGAGTCACTCCAAGGATGCTCTTCCCACTCCGCTCCAACGCCCCTGATGGCCTCGGATCCGCCCGAGCAGTAGGAATGGGATATCTGGGAGCATTCCCAGCTCTCCCAGCACAGATCAGGGTAGAAGGCAGGGATTCCTGACGGACTGCGTCCCGTGAATCCTCCCACTTCCTGCACTTTTGAAACCAAAGGTACCTTCGCGGAGAGCAAGAGAGAGATCAGGTTTCTTTTGGAAAAGATGGATTTTTTGGATGGATTTTCCTTTCATTTTTTTTTATTTTCTGAGGAGGATGGAGGGTTTTTTTGGATGGAATGCAACAGGATTCGCGCAGTTATTCTTTCTGCTCTGGAGACACGTCGGTGACAGGGATACTCCCACTGCTATGGATGGTGGAGAGGGACTTTGCCACATCCCAATGGATCCCGGGAAGAGCCCAGACGGGGCCGACAGGAGAGATGGATGCAAATTAATCCAATGCAAATGCCTTCCTTAAAATAATAATTATCATTTATCTTGGTCGTCTTCTCTGATAGGTCAAACATGGGGTGAAGATGGAGCTTGTGGGGTTGGATTTGGTGACCTTAAAAGGTCCCTTCCCACCCAAATTGTTCCATGAAACCAACGGCAGAGGAATTCCAAGGTTTAGGTTGGGGTTAAGAGGCAGGGCTGGGGGAGCTGTCCCAGGGATGTCCCTCATCCATCACCCCCTGCCAGGACCCTCCAGCCATGTCCCCTGGCAGGGACAGTCCCGTTGTGACCCTCAGTGTGGACACAGCCATGCCCCGATTCCACTCCTGCCGCCCATCCCGTTCTGGACAGCGGCTCCAGGAATTCCATCCAGCTTTTAGGCAAACACCCCCCAGGCCAAAGGTGACACCACCCCCGGGCATGGGGACAATCCCATTTCCAAAGGTGACACCGCCTCTGGGATGGGGACAATCCCATTTCCAACCCATTCCCAACTCTCAGGTGAGTTTGGGCAACTCCCTGCCCAAGCACCACTGGGAAAGACAAACAAATCCAGCCTCTGGATCTGGGATTTTTCCAGCACTCTCAATCCTCAATGCTGACAGGGACCACAAAAGACCTCCAAACCTCTGGAAATTAGGCCAGGATTGCTGGAAGCAGGTCCGTGTTGGGTATCCACAATGCACCATTCCCATTAAAACCCCGTATTCCTGAATCACCTCATCCCTGAGGGAATCTGTCAGCATCCCTTTGGAAAAGGAATGGGAAGGAGCTGGACTCTGCCCAATCTTATCCCAAATTTCCTCATAAAATTCCCAATCCTACCCCCAGGTTACTTTGAGTAATAAGAGGGAGGAGATGGAGAGGTAAAAAAACAACTCGATGTAAGTTACTCACAGCCCTGTCTCAGCTTGGTGCAAAAATTACTCCACATCTTTAAGATTTAGCAAAAATTCTGACAATTTTTCAGAATTTCTCCCCTGGAGTTTTGGAGCCCAAAGAAAATTCAGGTTAAAAACTCATCCTGAACTTCTCATCTTTTACTCCTTTGAGTAAAGTTCAAGGTTTGCATGGGGAGAAAAGCCCTGACCCCAAACCTTCCACAGCGCTCACAGGGTGACCCCACAGATCCCAAAAATCCAGACAGGGCTGGGATGAACCCACTCCATGTCCTGGGAGCATCCTTGGAGTAAGAGATGGATGGATGGATGGATGATGGATGATGGCTGATGGATGGATGGATGATGGATGGATGATGGATGGATGGATGGATGGATGATGGATGATGGCTGATGGATGGATGGATGATGGATGGATGATGGATGGATGGATGGATGGATGATGGATGATGGCTGATGGATGGATGGATGATGGATGGATGATGGATGGATGGATGGATGGATGATGGATGATGGCTGATGGATGGATGGATGATGGATGGATGATGGATGGATGGATGGATGGATGATGGATGATGGCTGATGGATGGATGGATGATGGATGGATGATGGATGGATGGATGGATGGATGATGGATGATGGCTGATGGATGGATGGATGATGGATGGATGATGGATGGATGGATGGATGGATGATGGATGATGGCTGATGGATGGATGGATGATGGATGGATGATGGATGGATGGATGGATGGATGATGGATGATGGATGGATGGATGGATGGATGATGGATGGATGGATGGATGGATGGATGGAAGGAATCCATGGATGGATGGATGGATGGATGGAGAATCCACACAAGGATTTGTGACTATGGGGTGTTCCCCACCCTGATCCTAATCCCATTCCCTGGGAGCTGCTCTGGTGCTCCATCTCCTCTCCAAAGGAGACATCCCAGTCATCTCCTGTCCTGATTCCTGTGGGGACACCCAGGGCTGGCAGGGATGCTCCCATTCCCATCACAGGGACGATGATCCCTCCCTGGGATCTGCACAACCTCTCTGGGGCAGGGAACACTTCCAGTTCTCCAGAAGAAAGAACCCTTCCTTCATCAAGGCTTTCAATTAGGAGCCAGCTTCTCAATCATAAATAAGAAGGGAAGAGCCAGACCTAAAACTCCAGCACCAGACCCCAAATTCCAGCACCAGACCCACAATTCCAGCACCAAACCCCAAATTCCAGCACTCTCAGGAGCCGAGCTCAACCCAAAATGTGTAGATTTGTCCTGTTCCTACAACGTTCTGAGGCAACTCCATATCCATGTCCTGGAGATGAATCCAGGCTCCATCTCGATTCCAGGGGCCTCCCTGGCACCCAGCCTTGGGACAGGAACGCCAGGAATTTGGGACATGAGGACACCGCTTCCCTGATCCAGAGGCTGCTCCCATTCTCCCTGAGGTGACACCGCAGCTGGAGGCACAAAACCAGCGGGAAAAACTGGAATTTTGGTCCAAACCTCAAAATCCTGCTCGGAGAAACCCAACCACACACCAGGACACACTGTCCCTGCTGCCAGCATTGCCTGCCTGGAGGTGACAGATCCCAAATCCAGGTGTCACCCACAATCCAGGAGATCCAGCGGGAGCTGGGGGAGAGCAGGAGGGAGAAGGGAAGAGCTGGGAAGTGTCACCCAGGGCCACCACAGCGCTCGCTCTGGCCACGCCATCAACTTTTCCCGGCGTATCCCAACACCACCAACTTTTCCCGGCACATCCCAAAGCCACCAACTTTTCCTGGTTCATCCCAACGCCACCAACTTTTCCCGGCGCATCCCAAACCCTCCCCTCGTCGCACAGGTCCCAGCAGAGCTGTGAGCGCCACCCGCGACGTCACCTCCTCAGCCCAGGCTTTCCGTGTACCTTCAGCAACCAAGATTTCAGTTGAGCAATAAAAAATAAAATAAAAAAATAAAAAAATAAAAACTTATCAAGGAGAAAAACAAAAAAGACAAAAAAAAAAGAGAGACACCTCCTATTTCTTGCACTAAAAGCTGTTTTAT